CCACGGCCTCTCTCGGCGAGGAAACTCTGGCCTCCGCTTCCTCCTCCTCCGACTCGGACGCCGGCGGAGCCTCCCCGCCCCCGCGGAAGAAACCCCGAGCCTCGGCGGCGGAGGGAGCAGGAGAGCCCGGGGCTTCGGCAGGCAGAGCAGGCCTCTCCCCTCCGTCCTCGTCGTCCTCGTCCTCGTCGTCGTCGTCGTCCTCCTCCTCCTCCTCCTCCTCCGTGGTGGTGGTGGTGGGACTGCCCCCGGCCGCTGCCCCCGCCGCCCCCCACCGAAGTAGCGGCCACAGCCTGGTCAGCGGCAGCATCATGCAGGCCAACGGGGCAGGAGGAGGAGGAGGAGGCGGCGGCGGCGGCGGCGGCGGAGGGGGCGGCGGGGGCCAGGGACAGACCCAGGAGCTGGCCTGCCTGTCGGCCCAGAACGGGGAGTCGTCCCCCTCGTCGTCGTCGTCCGCGGGGGACCTGGCCCACGCCAACGGGCTGCTGCCTTCCGCCCCCTCCGCCGCCAGCAACAATAGCAACAGCCTGAATGTCAATAACGGGGTCCCCGGCGGGGCCGCCGCCGCCGCCGCCGCCGCCGCCGCCGCAGCCTCGGCCGCCGCCGCCGCCTCCTCGGCCACCCCGGAGCTGGGCAGCAGCCTCAAGAAGAAGAAGCGGCTCTCCCAGTCCGACGAGGATGTCATTCGGCTCATAGGACAGCACTTGAATGGCTTAGGGCTCAAGTAAGTGCCCTTTCCAGGCCGGCGGTGTGGACGGACCGAGGCCCGGAGGCCGCGTGGGGGAGGGGGCCGGACGGAGCTCGGGCCGGGCGAGAGATCGTGCGGGGCCCGGGCCCCGGGAGGACGGGGAGGAGCAGCTGACCTGCCGGGAAGGGGGAGACGGATGGGCCCGGCGGGGCGTGAGACGGAGACAGGCGGTGGCGGGCTCGGGAGGGGGGGGGGGCAGGAAGCCGGGACCTTGCCCCCTGCCCGCACACCTTCGGAGCTGAATTGTCTGTCAATAAAGACAGATGCGGGAGTGTGTGTCTGCGTGGTGGGGGAGGGGTGCGTTCGAGCTGCTGGGAATAATGGACCTCGGAGGATTTGGTTTTCAAGTATATCTCAGAGGCATCTTTGTGGGACACCTCCCCACCCCCAACTATGACAGACAGCCCCGGCCAGCCACCAATCAGGAAAGACAGTCGCCTACAAGTGTTCATGGGAACTGAGGGGCTGGCAGAATTTGGGAGCCACCGAGTGAAATACCCTGTTGGTGTCATGGAAAGGCCCTTGTGTATGTGCGAGAGGCCTGCCACTGACCCGGCCGAAGTCCCACTTGAATTCCAAGAAAAGGCCTCTGAAAAGGGGACCTCCGATCTGGGCAACCGTTCATTTTCAAATACAACGCCGGTGGCCTTGTGCACCTAAAATAGGGTGAACCCACTGATCCGTAGACACAAAGGAAAAGCGAGGGGGTGAAAGGTGGGGGGGGGGAGTGCCCTGCAGGCCCGATGGTGGGTGAAGCAGAGCCAGAATGAGACCAAGGTGGGGACATGCAGCAGTCCGCCTCCTGGCTTCAGAGCCTAGGCCGAAAGCAGCTCTTAGGGCCAGCCCAGGTGTAGTTTGGGATTTACAGATTTGTTCTCTGTGGAGGGGGGAGTGAGGGGAGCACTTTATAAAAGTGACCTAAGTATTTTGATTCTCTGGCAGATCAAGGCACTGGTTAGCTGAAAAATAAACAGAGCTAAATGAGAAAGCATCGAAACATAATCACAAGTAGGGAAAACTGATAAAGATTCTTAGGTACCAGAATATCCGATGAGACAAACTGCATTTGGTAGATCTTTTCAGCTCTCAAATAGATCTTCGAAAGGTTTCACTTTGTTCCCTAAGGAGAAGGATTAGTATGAAAACAGATTTTGTAAATGCTAACAGAACATGTTACTGAGGCAAGAAGCAAGCTGACAGCAGCAGGAGGAAATAACTCGTGACTGTTTGGAACCTACACCATAGTAAATTTGCTATTTTTAGTATAGAGAGAAAGAGAGTGATTTTTGGTGCTGGATTTATTTTAATTTTAAAGACTGACCTAGTAGAATTTCTGTGCAAACATCGCGTCTGGATGTAAGGCCCTTCCCTGACCCAGGTCATCTCTCTTCCCTTGTCTGGAGCTAACAATTTCTGTCTTTTGAGACGTTGTAACGTGGTTAGTACCCTGGTTTTTATTTATTTAATCACTTGGTTACAACACGTTCTTGGAGATTTTATACTTCACTAAATTTCTGAGGCATTAAGTGGTAAAACTTGGAAGAACTTTTGATTCTGGTTTCAAGAAGCTTTTAACCTGACTAGATAAAACAACATCACGGTGGCCGTTTAAAAAATGCAAGTTTGTTGAACCAAGCACAGTTTAAAAAAAAAAGAAAACAACTATTGATTTCTTTTTTCTCCATCATGAGGTTAGCTTGAAAACTTTTGCAACTGTTTTTATGGACATGAGTTGATTTAGAAGAGTGAATCCTACAAGTTGGCCAGGTCTTTTTTACACTGTATCTCTCCTGCAGCCAGACTGTTGATCTCCTCATGCAAGAGTCAGGATGTCGTTTAGAACATCCTTCTGCCACCAAATTCCGAAATCATGTCATGGAAGGAGACTGGGAGAAGGTAAAGTAGGGCATATAGAGCTGTGTGACTGCTGCTAAAATTATATATTGGAATGTGCATTTTGTGACATTTTTGTTTTTCTTTTATGCCAATTTTTGCAGGCAGAAAATGACCTGAATGAACTAAAGCCTTTAGTGCATTCTCCTCATGCTATTGTGGTAAGAGGCGCACTTGAAATCTCTCAAACGTTGTTGGGAATAATTGTGGTAAATACACTTTTGTTCTTAGTTTCACATTCATGCTTATTTTAGTAGGTTATTGATAATTCTAGGCTTCTGCCTCTTACAAAAGATAAGGCAAAAGAAAATAGTTAAATTTCATATAATTAAGTTTGTAAACTAGGATGAGTGTCGATGATGCTTTAAAGTTTTGCCTTTTTTAAAATCATGTTTAGTAAATGTGTCATCTGAACCTACTTTATAAGTTAAGTTTCTAGAAATTAATTGAAAGGTTTTCATGCTTTCAGTACTGTTAATAGCAGTTTTGGAATCAAAGATAAATTATGCTTTCACGTTATTTATACTGAACGTGCTGGCAGAGGAACTGTATTTGGGTGTGTGTATCCTATAGTCTTAAGTAGCTGATACGTGAATTGTCCTGGTTTGGTTTTGTTTTTTTAATCTTTGGGAATTACAGTTAATTCAAAGCAATTCCTTTGGTGTGCTCACCATTTTCCACTCTTGCATTCCAGTTGTGTGCACTGACAGTGTCAAAATGTGTATAATGTGGATCGCTCTGGTGGAGGGTTTGTGTGCAGATTTGACCACTGGGCTGTGCTTACAGGCCTTATTTCCCCAACAAGATCAGTTCAGTAGTCTAACCTATTAGCTTCTTTCATAAATCTTGATGAATCTTTTCTGCTGATAGGCTTTAATTCTTCTGTAGATGTCGGTGAGGGAGAGGAGGGGGGATAAGTTTTTCTAAGTGCCTGCGATTGGAAACCATGAAGAATCAGCTGCTGGCTGCTGGCCTTTTAACTTCGAGCTGATTCATTTGTTGTCAAAAGCAGTTTCCTGTCTGGTGGGGGAGGGAAAGAAGGCCAATAGGAAGTCAAGTAGGGAAACCAGCTGTTTGTTAAATATTAGTAAATGACTACTGTTACCTTTTGATTTTTTTTTTAATTGGGTCAAACATTAATCTTGCCGCCTTTGTCTGTAAACCTAATAGAGCCTCTTGTTCTTGTTTTTGGGGTTTTTGTGGCCAGGGGAATCTTAATTACAAAAGTTTTCAAATTGATAATATATAATCCTAGAGAACGGACTTCAGGCAAATTGAAGGTGCAAACAAGTATGAACAAATACGGATTAATGTAAATTGATGACTAAATATATATATTTTTTTTGCTTTCAGTAAATATTTTAAAACTAAAAATTTTACTTATTGTGGAATCAGATGATAATAAATTAACTCATGGAATGATCAATTCCATGCTAAATATTAAAAAATCAAACACAGAAGTTAAAAAACACCTACATTTGAAAGGGTTATACATTTCGCAGCAACTAAATTTTTCCCAATCAGTGTGTTTGGGGTTTAAAAAAAAAGAACCTAAGTATATTTTAATTGGGCAGTTTCTCATAAATAACTAGCTCTGACAGAATGGAAAGTGACCCTAAAATACAGACAAAAAATAAGTGTGTGAGTTTTGGGAGGATTGTTTGCCTTTTTTTTAAATCCTCACTTCAAATTCTCTTTGTAATTAGGTAGTAAAAATTAAATAGGGTCACTTCCTATTTTTTCTTACTTGTTCACAGAAATGTGGGGCTTCTGTGTTGGATTTAGATTATGACTACCTCATCTGAAACCTTCATTAGAAGCAACGTGTAAACTCAAGAGAGGTAGTTGTAGATAACGAGGAAGAGTCCTTTCTTTTTACAGCCTGTTCGGTCTATAGAGCATTGCAGCATCTAATAAAAGATGAAGGTTAAATCTCTGGCTGAGCCTCGCACCATCAAACTGTTTAGGTATTTGTACAAAGAAAGGGGCTCTAGGTTTAAGATTCAGTTCAGCACTTTTTCCCCCTTCTAGTTTGTGTTCAGATTTATTCCTCTCCCCTACTCCATCTCCAGAAGAGAACCCAATCCCAGGGTAGCTGTGATAATACCATAGAAGACATGTTTGGGACTTTCTTTTTTTTTTTACATAATTATTTTAATTGTACACCCAGACACATTTGATGACTTAATCAAAACTAAAATTATATTTTACTTTTTAAGCCCAAACATTTTTATTGACCCAATTTACTCTCTGCTCTCCCCCATATTTCTTAATGGTTTCCAGTCAGATGATACCATGGATAGCAGAATTTGCTCTGGATTTTCTGGAAAGTGAGCTCCTGAATCAACATTTTTCGGTTTGGGGTCAAATGTGCTTTACCACCTTGGGAGTTTGGATGGGTAGTAGAGGCCAGTAACATGGGAAATTCCTCTAAAATTTGTATTTATTTTTTAGTATAATAGAAATGTGCTTAAGAAAAGTTTTGTTCAAATGCTAATTTCATGGACAAAAATTAACTGTTTTTTAAAGTTAAATAGGGCTTTGAAAGCCATCGTTTAAATATAATTCATTTCCCCTTTCCTCTGAGTCATGGTTTAATTGATCCAACTTGGTTATAACCTTATTGCAGAGTTAGTCAGAACCACTCCTGAGTTAGCTGGGAGCCTGCCCTGGATAGTCTGTCTAGCCTCGGACTTTTCCTTCGGTGGCAGTCAGGATAGTTAGGTGGGAGGAGAGGGTACAGCGGTCCCAATATTGGGTAGGATGGGAGGCGTTAGCAAGACCTACCATATGGAGCTTTCACGGTCCTAACGGATAGTAAGAGACAGACAGACACCCTGGGCCGAAAGACGCTGGGAAATTATCAGGGAACAGAAGTACTCTCACAGAGGTCTCATTAGGAGCTGGGAAGAGCTGTAAAGGTAGCAATTTGTTTTCTCAGCCTCTTTCTTTTTTTCTTCATTTAAGAAGCTTGTGATCTTTTTTAAAAAAAAAAAAGTTCATAAGGCTCTGTCCCCACCTCAGCAAACTTTAGTTTTGCCTGATTTTTTAAAATTTAAATAGTTAACATCATTCGTGAAAGGTGTTTATTTTCTTGAAATTGTGTTTACATTTTTGTGCTTTAAATTTTGGGAAGTGAAATGCACCTTTACTCTCCATCCTTATATGGCAAATATGAATGGAACTGATTTTTAGGAGAATAAACATACTTCAACCGAATCTCTAGCTATGCTCGGCCAGCAGCCTGCCCATTGCCATGCGCACTACCAGGATTTGATACCCTGTTTGAGGAGATTCTTGGTCTTCGTCTGGATAAAATGGCCCCTAGCAAATTGTCTGTGCACTGCCTTCGTAGCATGCCCTGTATATCCAGAAATACGTGTTTGAATGGGCTTCCCTCACGTGTCCTGCCTCCCTCCTCTTCCGCCCTGCCCCTTCCCCTTAGAAAGACAGAAGCATGTTCCAGCAGGATCTTGGTGGGAAAATAAGGAGCAAACAGCACTTGGGGCACTGTCCCTACACACATTGGAATGGGGGTTGTGCCTAGGACCTCACGGTTGGCACCCCAAAGATAAATCATGAAAAAGTAATTTTCTCCAAATTTCCGAATGCCAAGAAAATTGCGGAAATCAAGTACACATACTGGCCAGTTCCATGTGGCACTTAAATGAAAAAATAGTGCAACTAAACATGATTCTCGGGTTTGAATCAGAAACGCTATGTGAAATACAACTGTGACAGTGTTGGTAAATGGAAATATATAAACTCTACATTTCGTAAAGAGTGGAAGTTGTTTTCAGGAGATAAAATGGTGAGAATATCCAGGGTAACTTCAAATATAAAATACTTTGATTTTTAAGTTGTTTTATTAAGTCTTTGGTTTTTGTCACCTGACGGACACCAGAGTATTTTTTTCTTTGACGTAATAAAGGGTAACTGGGCTCCACGTGCAGCACACTTTTCAGGGCATCTTGGTAACTGATCTGTTTCTGAGGCATTCGTTAGTCCAGCATGATGTGTAGAATTTGGTAGGTGTAGTTTCTCTAGAGTTACAGGAGCTCGTCTGATAGTTGGAAATTTTTTCTGTTCTTTAGTTACAGATTTAAGTTTAGATTACCACCAAACATACACAATGCATCTTACAAAAGAAGTGTTTAAATGTAGGCCTAGCTTACCTGACGAGGTTTGTTTTGCTTACTTTTCCTAGAAACCATTTTTAGAGGCTTGTAAGGTAGGCCTTTCTTCTAAATACTCCCTACTAGAAAATCGTGCAGAGAAGTTCATGGTACTCTTAATTCTCTGAAGAAATGATCTTTTCTCCACACCATTTTGGGACAGCAGAATATATATACTTAATGTTTTACTGAGGAAGAAAAAGCTATCGTTTGTTTTTTTCTTTTAAGTGGGTTTAAAATCTTGACCACTGTATTTCTTGGGGTCTCTAAATATGGCTGATATTTTCTGTCCGCTGACCTCTGTACCTGCCTCCTTCGGCTTGCTCCAGAGCCATGGGTAGCAGATAGGATGAAAGAGTCCCTCCAGGCAGTGGTCTTCTATTATAAAAAATTCTCAACTTGATACTCATAAGTATCTCTCTTTAGCAAAAAAAAAAAAAAAAAACTGCTAAGACCATGATGATCACTTTCCAGTTAAAAGTACAATAATAGAGTAAAGGGACATTAAAAAGTATTAGAGCCAAACACATTTCAGAGAAATAACTCAGTGCGAAAGTGCTTCACCATGAGCAGGAAGCGGTTTGTCCTTTTGGGGGAAACGAGCTGATCATAATTGTGTCCCGTAGTTAAATGCATCAGCGATCAGGCTGTTAGCAGTACACACAGACAAATGCTCCTTTTGCAGACTTTGGAGTTCAGCCTTCTGTCGTAGACCTCCTAGCAAGAGCGAGGCCATCAGGCTCACGCTTGCCCACTCTGCACATGGACCCCTAGGCCTTTTGCTGGACAGCTCTCCTTACTTCCATGAGCCTCGCCTGATGCTTTGTGACCTCTGCCCCAAGGCTCTAGTTGTGCTTGGCAGTCTGCTTAGTCCTTCCGACACATTGTAGGTTTTAAATAATTCCTACATTAACCGGTTTTTCTGCCATCTTTTTAAAACTTGTGGCATCAAACCCTCTAATGCCCTATTATAAGAGTCAGTCTTTTAAAACCAGTTTAGAATACCTGGAACAGTTCTGAATTTTCATGCAAGAATAAAATTCTAGGTGAATGTTTTTAAGGGCAGAGTTCATTTTTTCCTCTGTTGATGCCTTGGTCGCTAATGGTCTTACCTAATTTGAGATTATTGGTTCAAAGCAGTTTTATGAAGATGTGGAATTGAGCAAAGTGATCATTTAATCTACTGTGACTCTATTAAACCAAAATAGTTTGAGTCATCTTAAAGCGTTGTAAGAAGTGATTTTCAGAGGGCGTAGTAGAATGGTTTCTACTGTTCTGTTTAGACACAAACATTTTCTGACCCTCCCATCAACTTTTCCCCTCACTGCTGCTTTCTGTCCTGTCAGAGGATGAAGTTTTTGCTGCTGCAGCAGAAGTACCTGGAGTACCTGGAGGACGGCAAGGTCCTGGAGGCGCTTCAAGTTCTGCGCTGCGAGTTGACGCCCCTGAAGTACAACACGGAGCGCATTCATGTCCTCAGCGGGTAAGGACGCGGGCTCCTGACGCTGGGGTGAGGGAGGAGCCGGCAGGGCCAGCACGGGTGCCACTCTTGCAAGATCGGAGTCGGGCTACGTCCCTGCACAGTATTGCTCTGGATACACTCATTCAAACGCGTTCATGCTACTCTTGTCCTGCTAGGAAGCGTTGCATATTAGAATAGATACGTAAGTGGGTGAAAGAAAGAAATATGTATCGCCATTTCATAGTCTTTCGTCAAAACCCTGTGGCGTAACCTTCTGTGCAGACAGCGGTGAACCTTCCACGGTGCCGCGTCAGGTGCTCTTCCTAACATGTGCTTGTCCCGCCCTGGGTCCTTGCTGAGCATTTCCTGTACACAGTCTCACTTGATCTTCACATCTGTTCTTTCCATGTCAGGGGGCCGAGGCCTCAGATCTGGGCCCCTCTTCTGTTCTCTGTCCACACACCCCACCAGGTCCCCTTGTTCTGTGCTGCACCCTCATAGACCGTGTCTCTGCCAGAGGCTCTTGTCTCAGGTCCCAGTGTATGTTTCTGACCGCCTCCTTGACGGTCTCCATTTGGGTGTCTCAGAGGTATATGTCCACAGCGAGCTTCTCAAATCTAGTTGTCCCCCCCCAACCCCCCCACCTGCTCCTCCCCTAGTTTTCCTGTCTCAATAAATGGTAAGACCTTTGTCCAAACAAAAAAAAACAAACCTCATCCTTGCATTTCCTAAATCTTTTAACTCTGACATGTATTGACCAAACTCTAAAACATCCCAGATTTATCCATTTCTCTCCCATCTCCACAAATTCTATCCTAGTGAATCCATAAATGTGTCTCCTAGAATATTCGAGTGGACTCCTCGTGAGTCCCATTGCTTTCATCCTCACTCCCTTAATGATGCACATTTCACACAGCAGTCAGATAAATACATAAATATGTAAGTAAAACCATATGTTAAGCCATTTCTCTCCCTTTCTTAAAACTTCCCACTGGCTTTCTCTCACCCTTAAAATCCAGAATCTCTGCTTGAGCCTTTGGGGTCCTTGACCTTTTCCCGCCATCTTTTCCTTCCTTCATTTACTCTCCAGCGACATTAATGATTTTTCTGTTCTTAACTGGCCAAGCCGCTCCCTCTTCCCTTTATCTTAAATGCTCTTCCCTGAATCTTTCCATAGCTGGCTACTAGGTGCTCAGATCCCAGCCCAGAAGTCCTCTCCTAAAACCACCTAACAGGCATTCTCTTGTCACATCACTGTTTTTAATTTTTTCTTTATAGCATTTTTTATTAAATGGTATAGCCCGGCCTCTAGAACATCACTGATGCACAATGAGTTTTCAAATACAAGATGATGGCCAAATCGATGGACCCAAAGAGGTATAGGGTTCATTTTAGGGTTTTTGAGGAAAGGGAAATGAAACCTCGGAGAAGTGAAGTAACCAGTCGCCTGGTAAAAGCAGAGAGCCAGGATTCCAGGCCTGATTTGACTGATGGCAGAGTCATCCGTCCTCACCCGCTGCATCCTCGAGCAGCAGGCTGGGTGTTTTACTACTGTAGTTGACAGATTTCCTGGCTCTGTTTATCTCTTTGATAAGGAGTCTGATTTCTGTGTCACCTAAACACCATTCACATGAATTTTTTCTTGCTGTGGTAGCAGAACATATAACTCAATCACATAGTTTGATTCCAAAATGAACTTCACCCGGTGTGTCCCTTGACGGTTTCCCATAAGGAAATGGCCCAAAGATGGCCAGATGCAGAGCTGGCATGAGGATACAGGGTTTTTTCCCCACTGGTCCAGCATCTTTTCAGTTACGCCACGTGGCTTCCTGTAAACAGACATTCTTTGAAACCCTTAAGGTGTAGTGTGTGTTTTCAAAAGGGGCAGAAGCAATCATAGGTTTCTTTTTAAAAAGTGAACAGTTTTTCCATAAAATTATTGATAATAAATTTTACCCCAAAACTATTTTAGAAACCAGTAGTTTTGCAATACCCGGCTTCTTATATAAGGTATTTTAAATCAGGTTATTCATGCTATTAAAACAAAGTAAGCTCTCATCAGCTAAGACACCATATACTAAATAAATAGCAAGAGAGCAGGTAGTTCTCTGCTCCTGGGTAAGAGGCGAGTAACTACTCAATGCTGAATGTGGTTTGCTTGGTGCAGTTGAGAAAAAGAAGGTGACACATCAACTGAGAGGTTTCCCATACTACTATTATCGTATATTAAGCTCCATTTGTATTACCAGGTAGTGGACCAAGTACTTCATATACTCTGTCTTAGTTAATCCTTACTTTCCTGTTTAAGACCCTTTTTACAAGTGAGAAGAACAGATCTGAGAACAGAGTACCAGACAAAGTAGCAGGAGACGTACTTGCCAGGTCTAATCTCCATGTCTGAATAATGCCTTCACTTCTTTTACTTTTAAAGCCAGTTCTTCTGAGAAGAGCCAGAACAAGGTCAGGGTCACACTTCCAGCAGGGGGCCTCATGTATTCTCCAGAATCCATGACTTTAGCGTTTATGCCTCCTTCGGCACATATAGTGAGTAATAAAACAGTTCCCAAAGTTTCTGCTTTGGGATCTCAATACCTTTCACAGGATGACCCAAGGATGATTATCCAATTATACCATTTCTTGAGTGACGTTTATGATAAGCTCTTGAAGGTATGTTGTTTTTGTTTAATTAACTTAGTGTAAATATCTTTGAAGGGTTTTTTATTTTATTTGGGGTTTGGGGGGAGTTTTGTTTTACTACTGAGAAGCAATTCAATTAGCATAGTAGTTAAGAGCAAGTTTTGCAACTAAAAATGCCTGAGTTCATATCCCCTTTTTTGCCTCTTAACCCTAAGCCGGTTCCTTACGCTTTCCGTGCCTTGGGTGGTTCATTTGTGAAATTAGAACGCCAGTGCTCCCTTCACCCAGGATTGTGGTGCACGTTCAGTCAGGTGGTACGTGTGGAGTGCTTGGGACCGAGCCTGGCACCCAGGAAGAGCCCCACACACAGAATGACGTATGATAATAACAGATGAGGGAGTATGTTCTACTAACGGATGATATATTAGATGTCATAACAGTAACATACATTTTGCTATTACCGTGGTATTACATTTGTATGCAGGTGCCAGGTTGTATTAATGAATTGGGTCCACGGTAGAAATTTGTTCTTGATACGTATTTCTTAGTAAGAACTTGATATATATTTCTAAGTATGATCAATTTTTTTAATTATGAAAAATTATATTATTATTTTACCCAAAGAAAAGGGTTTGATATTTGGTGCTTTCTTTGTCCTGTTTTTAGGTATCTGATGTGTAGCCATGCAGAAGACCTACGTGCAAAAGCAGAATGGGAAGGCAAAGGAACGGCTTCCCGATCCAAACTGTTGGACAAACTGCAGAGTAAGAATCTTACCTTTTGGTGCTTCTGTGTCTTCTTTTAATTAGAAATAGATACTCTGAATTGATCAGGAAGACTTCTTGCGTCCAGATGCACGCTCAGTGAGCAGTTACATAGGGAAGAAGGGAAAATCCGATAAGCCCTTTCAAGCAAAGCTTTCCACACTGCCCTAGAGTCTGCAAAGCAGCTCACCTCCTCGGTATTGGGGGAGAGGGTACGGGTCCCAGGGCAGCTCTCCCTTCACTTGTGTTATGCAGTAATGCTCCCGTTAAGATTTTGTTTGGGGGCGAGAAGTGCTGTGGTTGGAAGAAAAAATACATAGACCGGAAATGTAAACTACAAGTGTTTTAAATATTTGTTGATTTCAACAGGAAGGCCCAGGTTTAAGTAAACTGTTTTCCTCTCTGCCCCCCCCCCAGATATGTTATATATAACTTACAGATTAGAGTCGGGGTTTTATTTTTGCCACACTTTTATAGAGAAGATCTTTTTTCTCTCTCGGATTAAATCATGTTATTCTGTGTGTTTCACGTTGAGATGTGGAGTAGAGGTGAGGAGTAGAGATCCTAAGAATCAGAAAACCATGTGGTTGGGGAGGTGTGAGGCATGGAAGGATTGGAAGAGATGGGTATCCGCATCAAAACACCAGTCATTGCCGGAGTTTGCACAGGATCCTGGGCAGTAGAAGCACTCTGATGAGACCTGGTGCTTGTCCCCACCTGTCGGCTGGCCCTTTGTTGGGGGAAGGTTCCTTTTACACTGTCAGTGATCTGTAGTCTCCCTCCAGTACACAGTCTTCTGCAGGTTTTCTCTTCCTCATCACTGGCTTTTTTTTTGGTTGGGGGGTGGTTTGTTGGTAGTGGGGCTTTGGGGGGGTTGCTTTGTGTTTTTGGAAATTCACATACAGATTAAAGCCCTCCTATCTGTTCCATTGTGTGACGACATAGCTGTAGCTGCTGACAAACACGCCTGAAGCTCCCGCTGTGTCACCTCTCCTGCTCTGAGGGACATAAGATTTCTAGGGCGGCGGCAGGTGCAACAGAAGGGGGGCAAGTGTCTTAAAGGTTATACTGTCTTGGTATTTTAATGTTTGTTGTTATTTCTCTTTTTAAAACTGTCTTGTCTTACAGCGTATTTGCCGCCATCAGTGATGCTTCCCCCACGGCGTTTACAGACTCTCCTGCGGCAGGCGGTGGAATTACAGAGGGATCGGTGCCTATATCACAACACCAAACTCGATAATAACCTAGATTCTGTGTCTCTGCTTATAGATCATGTTTGTAGTAGGTAAGAGACAAACTTTTACAGACTCAGTGGGAACTTGGTTAAAATGTTTTCTTTTGGAGGCTTTCTCCTGTCACCGTGAAACCATTCGTGTCTGATTTAGTTCCCGAGCAGAGCTAGAACCTACTGAAGTGGACACTTTAAGAGACATTTTGCACGTGTTTGCATAGGGAACCGTATCTCGAGAAGGGAAGCTGGGAAGCCTGGTTTTCCTCTTGTCTGGGTGTCGGTTGGTCATTTTGTCCTGCCGTCTTTGTAAGGGCTTGTGGGTGGTGTTGGGCGGGGATGCCGGCGACCGGAGGGTCTCCTGTCCTAGGATGCCAGACGGCATGGAGGGACTTTTTCTGGATGTTATGGCTATTTTAACAATGGCCCTGATTATTTTCTGCCCATAAAGATCATGGAAATACTTGGTCTATAATGGAAGTTCTGCTTTTTAGTAGAACCTGACCTGTAAACGAAAAATGGTTAGAGAAACAGGCATTAACTTTCTGGCTTGGATTTTGTTATCATACCTGTCCATGTCCATAATTCAGCTCCACTTTAGATATTAGGAGTAGTTTGAGTGAAAATGTTCCTGCTATTTTAATAACGATTTCCAAAACTAAAGCAGAACTTTAGTTTTTAAGATACTGGAAAATTAATCCTGAAATCTTTCAGAGTTCAGGAGGGAAATGATTTGGGTCTGGTGAACCACACATGAACAGCTATAGTACACGTGCCCAGTTTCTTTGGCAAAGATCATTGGCGAAGTACTAAAAGTGGCGAGGGGAGGCAGGGCCAACGTGTAGACCGTGCGTGGGCTTTGGAAACAACTGTAGATGTTTTGTGCGTGTGCGCTGGGACTGTAGGTGACGGTGAGGAGGTGCGTGTAAACTGCTTCACATGTGGTTGCGTTCTCACCTCTCCCTCCCCAAATGCAGTGAAAACCTGAGGATGTTTGTTTGAGCTGTTGGCTTTAAGTGACTTAAGTTCCATTCATCTTAACGTACTGGATAATTATGTGGCGTGTGTCTTAAATGTTCTAAAACAAGGTGATTGGAGATCCTTTTTCTTTTTACCATTTTTTATTTTGTTCTGATAACAGAATTTTTACATTTTTTCATTTGAGTTCAATAGAGGTAGAAGATAGTAGATTAAAAGGGTATATGGTTTCATCCTTTATGGCTCTTCCGGGGAATTTGAGACCAACGTTAGAAAATGAAGGCAGACGTGAGCCCAAACCATTTTTTGGTTTGTGAATGTGTTGCTGGTGGAATGCACTGACCCCAGTGTTTTGGGTAGACTTGATGGTTTAGGAGGTGTCAGTGGAAACTGAAATCCAGGAGAATGTGACCTCCGTATTTCCTAAGTGCCTTGATTTCTCTTACAGTACCTGTGAGAGGAAATGATGGCAAATGTTTAGTCTGACTTTTTCTCCCTCAGAACCGGGATCAGCCTCTCCTGCAAAGCTGCGTAGAAAGCACTCCTGAAGTTTGCATAGGGACGAAAGTTCATGCTCTTCAGAACTAACCACTGATGGACGGGCCTTCCCCATAGTCTTTTAAAAACAGAACAAAACTTTGACTCTGTGCTTCTGCTCGTCACGGCTGCACGCACGTGTGCACACATACACCTGCCTTAGAGGTTGCTGCTTAAAGCAACGCCCTTCTGTGCATTCACAATACTGCGTCCTTCACTCCTCAGATTTCTGCGGCCAACACAACACCACAGCTGTGGCTGGTGTCGGTGAGGAGCAGCTTCTTTGTTAATCCAGTGACTCCTCTCCAGCCCACACCTAGACCTTTGTAGAGCATTTGACTAGTTTGCCTTGAAACTGGTCCTTCGACTTCAAAAACATTGCAGACTCTGTTTCACTGTTGGCTGCTCCTTAGGCTCCTCCCCGTCCCTGTCCCTCCAATAAGGGCATGTTCCAGAAGATCTTTTTGTCTTCCCACCCCCCTCTTTAGGTTCTGATGGCGGCCAGGCCTGGGCTAGAGCCGCAGGATTGATCTTCTAAGGCTTCGACCTTCATACAACTGTGTGTGTTGCTCGAGTACCTTACAGGCAACATGTCAGAAGTAGAATTCCCCTCCACTCTCACTGTCCCCGCAAAGTCTGCCTTTCCTCTTGAATTCCCGATCTCCGCGAGGGGCTGCCATCTCCCCAGCCTGTCCAAGCCAGACCATCAGAGTCAGACACTGAGGAGGGACGCGTCAGGCAAGAAGCCAGTGTCCACAGTCTTTACAGATGTTGCTGAACTAGGAAGAGAAAACCTGAACATGATTTAATTCCTAATGTTCCCCTTTCATCTAGGGATTGTCGGAAGAAAAGTTGATACTTTTTATTATCTGCTTTACTGCCTCGTAGAAATTAGATTAGCCTTGAAACTAGAAAACTCTTATTTTCGAAATTCTTAGCATTGAAATCTAAATACCAAGTTTTATTTCTTCTCTCTGAAGAATAGAGAATTGATTATGAATAAGTGAACTGTAACTTTTTTTAAAACCCTAATCAGCACAGAAGGGTTTTCATTAGATTGTGTAGTATTTGTATTTTTCACAGTGTATACATATATGTGGTTAAATTTATGGAGTTTCTTTCACCAGCAACCAGTGGAAGGATGTTTCCATAGGTAACTTTATAAGTATTCATTTTTTAGTAAAGGATTATTAGGAGATATTTATAGAAACTTAAAATGTTAAGATTCAGTTTAATGAAAATACTACACTATTCAATTTTATTTGGGAAGGTACTGATATTTTGAACACCATCTTAAATTTTAAATTTTCTTGAAAACAGTCATCAGCTTTCACTTGTATACATCTAAAATTAGGCTTTTAATAACCTAGAGCTGTTAATTAGTCTTTTTCAAAGATTTAAGTACTAAAAATAATGGTAATTTAAATACCCCTTTAATGACTTTCAGTTACAACTCATTGTCAGTAGACTAGATGATTTGTGCCCTAAATTCTGATTATGAAATGGTCCTTCCTTAAGGACATTTTGCTACTCTGATTTTAGATCTGTATTTTCATTCATGATCCGTTTTACCCATTTGAATTATCGTGTATTTTGTGCCTAAATATAAAGTGTTTCTCACCCAGCAAAAGACATCGTTATTGATTACTGCCCATAAGAGGCAGGGAAACATTGTTGATATTGAAAGTACTTATTTGACTGGAATTTTATCTAACAGGGTCTTGAAAAATGCAGTTTAAAAAATATTTGAAAGAAAACTGGTGTTGCAGAGTCAGCCATATGTTTAAACCTAATTCAGTTACCAGTTTATGATTTGTTAAGTTACTTGCCCTCTTCAAGCCTCATGAAGTTGGAGATATTACTTGCCTTGCAAGATAGTTTTGAGAATTAGCAATACCATTTATAAACATGTAGCACAGTGCTCGGCATCTAGTAAGTGCTTAATAAATGTCAACTGGTATCGATTCTGTTTAAGTTCACATATAGAATAATAATTTAAAATTAAAGCAATTTTTAGACTGAAAATTTAAAGCAGCCTCCAAATAGCCAAGTGCTAAGGTAGATTCTGTGTGTGCCAGATAAAGTAAAGAATGTTAATTTAGTTTTAAATATATATTACTTATCGGGCTGGTGAATTGATAAAATACATTTTTAAATTATAGATTGGTTGGGGAAAAAAATAGGGAAGACCATTTTTCAGGACAGACTTAAAAGTTCATCAAGTCCTGGGGATGAGGAGTAGGTAGTCTAGTCAATAATACTGTGATACACTTGCGGTGGACATTTTGTGCTGTGTATATAGTGGTAGATTCACCGCTGTGCGGCTGAAACCAATTTATGGTTAGTGTCAACTGAACTTCAGTTAAAAAGAGAAACATTTATGGGGCGCCTGGGTGGCACAGTCAGTTGAACTTCTAATTCTTGGTTTTGGCTCAGGTCATGATCTCAGGGTCGCGAGATCGAGCCCCGCGTCAGGCTTCACACTCAGCGCAGAGTCTGCTTGCGACTCTCTCTGCCTCACCCCCTCCCCCCAAAGAAAGAAAAGAAAAGTTTATCCGCTAATGTTTAAATAACTTTTTTATAATCTTACAGAGATTCTAATAGAGTGCTATACTACCCAAAAAGTAGCCACTGATTACATGTGGCCATTTAAATTTAAACGTAAAGAAATTAAAATTACATTTAAAAGTCCAGTTCTTCAGGTGTCCTAGCCACATTTCGAGTGTTGAGCAGCCACACGTGGCCAGGGCTTCTGGGTTAGACGGTTTACACATGGTTTGAAAAGTGCTTCCTGGGAATAGTCACTCTTGTGATTACCTTTCCTCTCAAAAGTCAGAAGTCGTAGAGTTCTTTGCCCTTAATCTGTAGTAGTAGCCACTGAGGAAGTGCCGGTCAAGTGTTGGGCTCCATGTGAATGCTCCACCTTCATCATCTCATTCTTTTTTTTTTTTTTTTTTAAGATTTTATTTATTTGATAGAGCGAGCCAGGAGCAGGGGGGAGGGGAAGAGGAAGAAGCAGGCTTCCCGCTGAGCAGGGAGCCCGAGGCGGGGCTGGATCCCAGGACCCCAGGATCATGACCTGAGCCGAAGGCAGACGCTTAACCAACTGAGCCACCCAGGCGCCCTCATCATCTCATTCTTGTATGTCGTCATCATATAAAAAATCCCATAAGGCAGCTACCGTTCTCTTTAGTTTATGGTTGGAAAACTTGAGACTTGGATTAAACGAGTTTACTGGTTTCTGGGAAACAACCTAGAAAATGGCTGAGCCAGGACTTGAACCTGGTCTCTCTCACTCTGCTGCCCCTGTTCTTAAGGCTTTATTCTCAGCCACTGCAGCCCCTTCCCTCTATTGCACCACTTCCCTGCTGTCCCCCAAATTTCTCAGTAATCACTTGTGAGCATCTGTTGCGTTCCAGGAATTGTAGATGTTTTTCTCGTCCTGAGAAGAACCCTGTTAGGTGTATATTAATCTCCTTTTCTAGATGAAGGAACTGAGGCTCAGAGGAGTGAAAATGAGGTGCTGGATACATGAAAGCTTGTGACCCAAGCTTGCCTGACTGTGGTGCCTCGTCTCTTTTTGTTATGTCAAGTAACAAATTAAATATAAAAATGCACATTTCTCATGATGCTGGCCAACTTATACAAACTCAAAATCCTGATTGTTAATTTCTATTTATATGAATTGACTTAATCAGACCAAAAAATTCTATGATGGACACATACTTTTACTCTTGTTTAATCTTGAGAAAGGGGAAAAGAATAAATGCTACCCTGAAGCTGACTTCAGAGCACCGATTTCCCCGGAGATTGCCTTGACTAATGTAATAATCTTTTTTCAGCATACCACTGTAGACATGATTGAGATCTGCAAAGGCATTCATATCTTATTTTTAAAGTTTTTATATCCAAAGAAGTTTTATCACTTGTTTCACCTTTTTCATTATTAGATTATACTCTATTTTGAATGAATAATTACGTGTGAACTTCTTTGTTTTAGGAGGCAGTTCCCATGTTATACTCAGCAGATACTTACGGAGCATTGTAATGAAGTGTGGTTCTGTAAATTCTCCAATGACGGCACTAAACTAGCCACAGGATCGAAAGATACCACAGTTATCATATGGCAAGTCGATCCGGTATGTACTGTGTGTGTGTGTAGACTACAAAAAGGTAATTCGTCATCTAATTACATATGTTTTAAGGGTGCATATATAAATGTCTTCTTTCCTAAGAGCATTTCTCTGTCATTTTTGTCATGTCTTACCTCTTCCTGCGTTTTCTAGATGGTATATGTAGATAGATAGTGTGTGCTGGTTTATTCCTCAGAATAACTCTGTGGGACACTCACATCTCTTGTTTTCAGATCAGGAAACTGAGGTAGACATTAAGTGCCCAGGCTCTCAGAGCTAGTAAGTGGCAGAGTTAGACTCAGATCCGGGAACAGTTGTACTCCAGACCTGCTGCCCTTCATGCCCCTTGCCTGTTTTATCTTTGTTAATATTCAGTTTACCATTCTGTCACAAATTAGGAAAGACCCATTACCGTTTTGCCTTCTGAAATCTTTCATTGTCTTGTGTGATTTGGGGAACTTCTGTTAAACACCCCCTCTACCTTATGTACAAAAAGTACTGTATTCTGGATTTAAAATTCTGAGTTCTCTCTAAAATCAGATGTTTGTCTTTGTTTATAACAAGGTGACTTAGAGATTTGTAGAAATAAGTATTTGTTTCTTTTAGCCAATGGAACATTTATTGTCCTATCAAAAGAAGTACATGCCTCTACATAGGTTAAGGAGAAATATTTGGCTTAAATCATAACTAAATAATCTTACTTTAAAATTTAGAAATAGAATATGATATTAGTCCCAAATAAAGTTGTGGACTTCTACATTGAAAAAAATGGAGAAAACGACCATAGAAGAAAATATTTTTTAAAAAAAAGAATCAGGTGGGGCGCCTGGGTGGCTCAGTCGGTGAAGCGTCTGCCTTCGGCTCAGGTCGTGATCTCAGGGTCCTGGGATCGAGTCCCGCATCGGGCTCCCAGCTCGGCGGGGAGCCTGCTTCTCCTTCTCCCTCTGCTCCTCCCACTGCTTGTGCTCTCGATCTCTCTGTCTCTGTCAAATAGATCAATAAAATCTTTAAAAAAAAAATGCTTTATTACAATTTCTTTTGGCAGCAGTATGTAACGGTGCCCTTCATTTAGCACACATTTATTGAGCACGAGCTTATTTGCGGCCTCACCATGAGCTCATGATAGTACCGTGTAATTGTTCTGTGGTGGGTGCCACAGGGGCTCAAAGGAGAAACCCCCCTGGAACTGGAAAGTAAGACAAGTGAGTCCTAGCAGAAGAAGGATTGAACCGTTATCGAGGCAAAACCAGTTTCTACTGGCCCCCGCAGGACACATGGAAAAGGAAAAGGTGGCTGGGGTTTGGGCAGTCCCAGGGAAGAGGTTACACTGTGGAGTGGGAGGTGAGGTTAGCGGAGTTGGTAGCCGCCAGTCAAGGAGAGGATCTTGTATACTTGGCTAAGGGGTTTAGACCAGAGTGCTTTTGTCAGAATAGTGTTACGTGTAAAGGGCTTTTGTGGCCAGATTAGCTTGGGAAACGCAGGGTTAATGCTTTCATTCCAATCTGAGATGCCATGGACTTTAGAGTGTAGTATGATAGTATTTTATTATGTCAAATACTGTTTGAAAAACTTAAAATTGGGGATCTTTTTGAGTATGTGTTTTGTGTGTATGTTTTTTTAATGGATAGAAAACACAATACATGGAGAAGGACCTTAAGATTTGAGGTGATTGACACACCTGGTGGCTCAGTTGGTAAAGCGTCTGACTCTTGACTTTGGCTCAGGTCAGATCTCAGGGTCATGAGATGGAGCCCCGCGTTAGGTTCCACACCTACTTTAAAAAAAAAAAAGATTCAAGGTGATGTGATCCCAATGCCTGGTTTCTTTTAACAGGTTTTCTTACCTTTGCCCCCCCCCCAAAATTTTACCCATTCCCAACTCAAAATCTGAGCACAGTTAAGTGGATTCCATGAACATGGTATTTCCACTTGAGCTAGGTTAGTGTAGAGACATTGTACTTGTGAAGATCTAGCATTCATATCCCCATTTATTTTCAACGTTATTTTTTTACAGGATTATATTAATGTGCTGAAACAATTAGTGTTTTAGTTAAATACTTCTGAAGTAGTTTATCTTCAGCTTAGAAGAAACTGTTTGTGTGGATCCAAAGCACCACTGTGATTGCGCCCATCCAAAAGCCCGGATGTCCTGTTAAGTTACGCCGGCCTGTGGCCATGCTCTGGACAAACAGCCCCACCTGTTAGCCTTCTCCCGGGGAGGAACCAGAAGTAGTGGTAGTGGTAGCTAGTTTTTGTCAGACATGGCAGATGGACTAAGTAATGAAATAAATGATAAACATAGGGTCCGGTGAAGAAACGAGGCACAATATCCATTTGTCATTGACATTTCTGGCAAAAAAAAATTCCCAATCTAGTTTTATCAGAGGAGTTCCAGACCCGTTTCTCTCTCTCTCTCCTTTTTTTTTAAAGATTTATTTGAGGAAGAAAGAGAGCACAGGTGGGGCAGGGGCGGGGAGTAGCAGACTCCCGTCTGAGCACAGAGCCCAACTCGGGGCTCCATCCCAGGACCCCAAGATCACCACCTGAGCCAAAGTCAGATGCCCAACTGACTGAACCACCCAAGCACCCGTGCAGACCCATTTTTAATTGCTTCTGAGTCCTGGCCATTAGAATTCCACAGGCCTGGTACTGGTCTCAGTCAGTCTTTGACCAAAGTCTAACACTTAACTCGTCACTTTTTGCCACCTGCAGCCAGCTCCCTCTTGCTCTTTTTGCTGTGCACGTCTGTCCTTACCCCACACAGAAACCTGCAGGTTGTCTCTGCACATTTCTTGTCTCCTCCTGTCATACGTATTTTATGTTCCAAGTACATTCTGATCTGACGTCTTTCAGTGCAGACTGTGTTAGTTTTGGAACTCGTTTCTTGTCTTAACTCTAATGGCTCTTGTCGGCTCTTTAGGGGTGTCCGTGTCCCCCGTCCGTTCATTCTGATTCATCTTCCACATCATCATGCGTGTTCTCCTCCTCAAACCAAATACTCTGTTATGTACTCACCAGCTTAAAAATCTTGAGCAGCTCACCACTCACAGGGTAAAATTGCACCCCTTAGCCTCAAGCAAAGGTGTCCACTTCCGTGAGAGGCCAGCAGCCCAGGCACAGCCCCCGCTGCCACTCACCGTGGCAGACTCCGTCTCCTTCCCTGTCTTGTGGGGCAGGGGAGGAACACTTAACCCTCAGGTTATGAGACTGGGCTGAGGTACTGTTGGTGACCAGTGCTAATACTGAAGAGCACGAAGCGGCAGGGCTGCTGGTGGGAAGGGGGCATGGTGCGGACGCTCGGGAGACCTAGAGTTGGCCGCTCCGCTCCAGCGTGTGTCCCCAAAGGAAACAGAAACACAGATCTGCACAAAAACTTGTCCTTGTCCTAGCTGGGGACAGGCCAGACGTTCATCGGCTGCTGAGTGGTTGAACAAAATAGGGTATTTCCATAAAACGGACTGTCGACCAACGAAAAGGAGTCAGATATACACGCTACAGCAGGTGAAGCCCGGAAACATTCCACTAAGCTAGAGAAGCCAGTTCCAGAACAACCCCCCCCGCCCCGGGGTACGGTCCCGGGTGTGAAATGTCCAGAACAGGCGAATCCTGGAGGAAGGGGCGTGGGGGTTGCGAAGTCATTGCTAACCAGTGTGGGCTTTCTTCGTGGGGCAACGAGAAAGTTCTCAGCTTGGAGAGCGGTGGTGGCTGCACAGCTCCATGAACACTCAAGGTCATGGGATCGCGCACTCTGAAGGGTGAATGTTATGGTGCGTAAGTTAAGCTGTTTTCAAAAATAAGAGGTCGCTCTTGGTACCCTGGCTTTCGGTTTCCTCAGAAGCCTCACAGGCACGAAGCCTGTGTCGTCTTCACATTCCATCCAGCACACTGTGCCTGGTGTGTAGTAGTAGGTGCCTACTAGGTGTTGCAGCGTGAGCGAGGCTTTATGAAGCCAGCTGTTGGGGCTTCAGGTCGGGGGAAGATGAGTGAAATCTGTAAAAACCTCCTCAGATTTCATTACATCATCACCGTATATCCTCACAGCTATTTCAGTTCTGATGCCAGAAAACCATGGACTTTGAGGACTCTAACCAAGTGGTCTCTTTCCCTCCTAGGATACCCACCTGCTAAAACTGCTTAAAACCTTAGAAGGACACGCTTACGGCGTCTCCTACATCGCGTGGAGTCCGGACGACAGCTATCTTGTTGCTTGTGGCCCAGACGACTGCTCTGAGCTCTGGCTTTGGAACGTGCAGGTGAGCACGGCCGTCCTTGCTTGAGCTTCTCAGTACAGTGTGGCCGTCCTGCACGCGCTCCTTACGGCTTGATTCCCGCTAGAACACAGCCGCTCAGCCGCAGTGACCGGAGTGTGTCCCTCCTAAAAGTGAATTCAGCGAATGGAGCCCAGGTGTCCCCGCTTAGCAACTTAACTATCAGGCTGAGCGCAATAGAGAATTTAAAAGAAGGACGAAAGAGTATTTTCAGTAATGTTGTGCTTTGTACTGTGAAAATCATACTATTTACCATGGCACTTTTGCCTCCGAGAAGATTTTACGGTGGTTTCACAGTTTGATGATTGTACGCGAAACTTAACCTTTCAAGTGTGCAAACATCTGCAGGGGACCGGGTCTCTCGTTCTGGTGGCGGCCGTGTCGTCGTCTCCTTACCGTGTTTAATATGCTCATCTAGTTTAGGAAAAGTAACGTCTCAGGACTTTAGTAAGGACTCTGTTAACACTGTTTCTGAACCAAAACTTGACCTCTATCCAGGGTCCCTTTTTTTTTTCTTTTTACAAAAATTAGCATTAAGTTCCATTATTTTTGTACTATGTTTTGGACACCTTATAGTTCCAATTTAAAAATTACTTTTAACTTCCTTCCGTAAGATGGCTGGTTAGATGCTGCTCTTTTCATTTTTCTGCCCCGAGGCGAGGGTATGGTCGGGGCTGTGGTCTGAGTACACCAGTGTGCACTGAAGGGCTAGGACTGTGAGTTCAGGGACCTGTACGTGAGTCGGTTTTTACTGAGAGAGTGGAGCTAAAACTGCACAAGTATGCAGAGGGCAGAGCAAATACTGAGACCCACCTGCGGGCAATACGCCATAATCCCCGCCCTGCTGTCAGACAGTATAGTCTTCTTATGCCCACTTACTGCTTATGTTTCAACCCCAGCTTTTCATTAGGAGAGTTGTCAAATACTAAGGAAAGTGGAGGAGTACAGCGGTGACTCTTGCCCACCACCTTAGATGCAGCGATGAACATTCTGTATATTTTATGTGGACACACACGGAGACGTGCGTACATGGACATCCACGTCCAAAACATTTGGAGGGAAATTACAGCTGCGATGTTTTATACCAAATACTTAAGCATGTGTCTTCTAGAAAGTAACATTCCCTCATATAACACGTCCTCATCTTATTCAGGAACGTTAGCTATCATTCTCTAGTATCTAATGTTCGTGTCATAACTAAAATCCCCAGTTGCTCCCCAGATGTCTTTAGGCCATTTTCATCAAGCCAGTGTGTCATCGGTGTTTGTGATTGGGTTCAGGGGGGCGGGGGGCGGCAAAGCTGAGAAGAGAAGAGACGGCTTTCTCGCACTAGAATAGACTGGAATGAATCTGACCTAAAAGACAGAATGGGTTTTTTGGGGTTTTTTTTTTTCCCTCTCAAAGAGAAGATGTATGGAGTCCTAATCGTCCAGTAGTGGACTCGGAATTGATGGTGGCTGTAGTCTTCCTTTGAGTCAGTTCTGAATTTCTGGACAGTTAGAGGGTGTTGTAGCTTAACAGTTTGTGCATTACCTTACAGACTTGGTTTTCAGTCAGTTTGCACATTGTTCCTTATATTGTGAGGTAGTTTCCTAATGATAGACTCTCTCATATACCCACCGTCCTCCACGCAGCAGAAGAAAAGACCATTTCTGCCTCAGCACTTAAGAGTATTAACATGTGTGAGCACAACGTGCGGAGGATTCAGCCACTGCGTGTGTGCTTGGGATTCTGAACTTTTAACTGTTTCTGTCTGGCAACCGAAAAAAGATAAATCGGCAAGACCTATTAGCAGCATGGGGGAAGGTTTTAAAATTGCTGATTTTTTTTCCAGTATAAAGGGAGACCTCTGGCTTTCTATTTTTGTGCCCTCTTTGCTTTTAGTGCTTGGCCCTGTTCCCTGATCATACACTTTGTTTTCACTTTTTTTTTTTCCTACTTTTGATTACCCATTTCTCACAGGAGAATTATGCCCATGTACTTTTTATTATACCAAGGGCAGATATTATCTCTCAGAGCCTGTTTCTAATCCATGAACAAAATGGAATCAAGACTAGATTCAGTGGTATGTGTCTACCTTCTAAGTTCGATAACTTAGAAAAAAATAACAGGAGCATAGCTTAGGGTCATAACCAGTAAATAGTCTTTCTGACTTGGGAATCTTGTAAAATGGCTATATGCTAACCAGTACAGAAGTCCCTCTTTTCTGCACTTTTAGTTGAGATAAAATTAGATACCAGAAAAATAGTTTTCATTTCTCTCTTCCATCTTCCCTACTATATTTTTAGCATCTCAGATACGAGATTTCACACAATTGAGAATTGCTGCACCCTTGCCTTAGTTCAGGGCCCTGGTCTTTCTGTCCATTAATCATGTTCTTTGAGGAACTGCTAACTGCAGTCTCTACAGTTTTAGAATAAAATTTGCCAAGAACTATGGACTGAGGAGAAACGGGAACTCGAGGGAGTAGTGCACGTAGCACTGAGCTTCTCCTCCTTTTACTTGGGGAAAATCTGATTTAATTTATAAACGTCATTGAAGATGAGAGTTCTATTAAGAATTTATCTAATCAGACCTATTGTTGGGATCACCTGTGCTGAGTGTTGTTCGGCTCCTGGTTCTTCTCGCTCTTCACTCCTCCTCTGAGCACTGCAGTCTGGTTGGTTGGTTGGTTGGTTGGTTGGTTTTTTGTAAGGCCAGTTAGAACAGTTCATTTCTCTAATTAGGAATACCAAACTGACCTGATAGCCCAGTTACTATTTTTTTTTCTTTATACATTCCCTTTAGAAGCCTATCTTGAAGCTGTTAGCCACAGTTTTATTTCTTTGTAGACGGGAGAGCTAAGGACAAAAATGAGCCAATCTCATGAGGACAGTTTGACGAGTGTGGCTTGGAATCCGGATGGGAAGCGCTTCGTAACTGGAGGTCAGCGCGGCCAGTTCTACCAGTGTGTGAGTACCTCCTGCCCCCGTCCACTGTCCACTCCTTTTGTGGAAATAAAGAATTCCTTTATGAAATATATTCTGTGAAGACCTACTTAGCTATCTTTCTAAATAAGCACCATCCAATAGAACTTTCTGTTTTTTTTTCTTTTTTTAACCATTTTAAAATGTTTATACAAAGTCTAGACTGAGTTTAGTAAAACATTAAATTATTTTACCAAATATTTTGTTCTCATAAGCAAGTGTCTAATGTATAGGATTGAAAATATTGAGTACTTTCTTTTGAGGCTTTAGGATTTGTATCCAAGCTGTGCTGAATTTCATGAGTTGACCGTCTTTAAGTATGTGAGGACTAAAAGTGGCGATGAGCACTACCAGAGAACCTTCCAGTCTTTATTTGAAGTATCTGCCCCATTAATCTCGGGTTGGTGGGATGATGACAATAAGGAATAGGTGACCGATCTCGTGACAAGGTGGACTCTGCCTTGAACATCGGTCTGGTTGCCGTGTCTCGTGCCACGGCCCGGCTTGCTGCCAGTGGGCACTTCCGCGTGTGGTCTTAGGATTACAATTAAATGAGATCATGAATCCCGTAAATCATTCAACATAGCTGAAGATCACTGGTCATAAAGACCTCTGTGTGGCCGGTACAGACCACCGGTGTCTTGTTGGTAAGCCAGCCGTGGGACTCGTGGAACCTCGTGTCCTGTCCCAAAAGCATGGTTATGAGCCACAAGTTCTTTCCTTCCCCCAGCCATCTCAGCACACCTTATTGGTCTACCTGTGATTTTCCCAATAGTTTAAAAAGTTATTTCTGGAGTTTCTATCCATGGGCTAATATACTACTTGGGTTTTTTACTTATTTTCCCTTTGTTTCAACGGAGGTGTAGTTGACCTATAACATTATGTTAGCTTCAGGTGTACAACATAACGTTTTGATATCCATGTGCATTAACAATTACAACCACAGTAATTAGCCGTTCCCGTACACAGTTGTGATGAGGACTTTTAAGAGTTACTCTCTCAGAAACTTTCAGATATGCAGTCCAGCTGGTCTCCATGCTGTACTTTCCGGCCGCAAAGCCATTTGTTCTTGACTCCCTGCCTGCAAGATGACCATGTGTGTGTCTGCTGACCCCACTGTCCCCTGTGGTGTTGACACCCTCAGGGCCCGGGACTTGGTAGCTCCCCCATCTGTGGAATGGACATGCGATGCCTCTCAGAACTTGGAATATTCAACAAGATAATGATCCTTTAGAGCTTTGATCTGTAGAACACATTACAAATTTGGTGATGTTTTTAAAATGTCATAACAGTTTCTGAGTTCGATAAAGCTAGAAGTAATGTTTTGCTAATCTTTTCCACAGGACAGGTCCCGGTAGCAGGGCCTCACTTAGAACTTAGGGATTCTTTCTCTGTGTGTTTTGTCATCATCTGTGCCTGGCTGCATGTTGAAGGGAAGACGGATTGTACAGAGATTCTCTCCCTCTCCCCCTGAAGTATTGTTGTAATGAAATTTGACCTATATTCACATTTTCGTGATGAGAACCACTTATGGAACAATTAAGTCAAGCAGGAAAAAACAAACTTATTACAAAAAGATACTGCTAAGAGATTCTTTTGGTTCTTGGCTTCCCAAGCGCTGTTTCATAATGGGGTTCACAGTGAATTTCTCCCCAGGATTTAGACGGAAACCTCCTTGACTCCTGGGAAGGGGTGAGAGTGCAATGCCTTTGGTGCTTGAGCGATGGCAAGACTGTTCTGGCATCAGACACACACCAGCGCATCCGGGGGTACAACTTCGAGGACCTTACAGATAGGAACATGTAACTATTTTTTTATCCATTAAATAATTACTTTATTTATATTAAAATGTGTGGTGGAACTCGCTATTTGAGAAGAGCTCTTATGTTTTGGTTTGGGTTCTTAAAATGGATTGGTGGGGGCTGCCTGGGTAGCTTAGTTGGTTAAGAGTCTGCCTTCGGCTCAGGTCATGATCCCAGGGTCTTGGGATCAAGTCCCGCATCGGGCTCCCCGCTCAGCAGGGAGCCTGCTTTTCCCTCTGCCTGCCTGCCTGCCTACTTGTGATCTCTCTCTCTCTGTCAAATAAATAAATAAAATCTTAAAAAAAAAAAATGGATTGGTGGTCAGGGGGTGCTTCGTAACCATTAACTCATTTTTTTTTCTTAATTGAAATACAGTCTCTCATACTGATTATAGACAAAATTGCAGTGTTTAAGCTAGAACATTTTACATTTTGATAATTTGAATGTTCTTGATACTTAGTATGTCGCTTTTAACAGATTATTTTCTGGTTACAGAGTACAAGAAGATCATCCCATTATGTCTTTTACTATTTCCAAGAATGGCCGATTAGCTTTGTTAAATGTAGCAACTCAGGTAAGTTTATTATAATTATAAAGATTTAGCTTAGTTCAAAATTTAATAGGATTTTTGGTGTATACATATAGAAATAAATATTTTACAAATTCTTAAATTTTTCTGTATGTGTTTGGTCCTTAAGTTTGTGGGTCAACCATTAATTTATCAGAACGTTGCCATTTTGCGGAAATAGGAATTGAAAATGTTCCATCAGGCAAAGGAATATTCACAGATTACTTTTTAAAATTCTTTTGAATTGAGGAAGAATAAATACGTCTGTTTTCTTTCACCTACAGGGAGTTCATTTATGGGACTTGCAAGACAGAGTTTTAGTAAGAAAGTATCAAGGTGTCACGCAAGGGTTTTATACGATTCATTCATGTTTCGGAGGCCATAACGAAGACTTCATCGCTAGTGGCAGTGAAGGTGAGTTGTGTGCACGCGGTCGTTCTCGTGGATGGACGGGGGATCCGGGGGGAGCTCTGTGATTGACTCAGTGCATGAGGGTAGCCACGTCTCCAGGCAAATGCAGGGTGTGAGATTGACAATTGTTGGAGTTTTATCTCTCCGGCACACTCTTCTTTTCCCCTTTTCGGAATGCCTTTGCGTCCTCCGGATCGTCCCATTCTGGCCACGGGGAGGTGTGCGTGGTGCATGCGTCAAACCAAGATTTAGTTAATCTTCCGTGATGGTGTGCAGAGGTTCGTAGGATCTATGAAGTTAGGGTTAATTATGATGTCTTACCTGAACTTAGACAAATTCGACTCTGGTTAGGACCTGCAGTGTTTCTTTTATGGCCAAAGAGAATAATTTAGTTTGAGGATTCTTACGGTCTCGGAAAAGCTGAAATTGTAGAATTGTCTCTAGTACTTTTTCTGGATGCACGTACTCTCCATTCTAATAACACCAGTATTCCAGCCAGGCCTGTTCCTAAAGTGGTCAGTCGAATTTAAAATAGAAATTGTTTAAAATAGAGGGGTGCCTGGGAGGCTCAGTCGGTTAAGTGTCTGCCTTCGGCTCAGGTCATGATCCCGGCCGGGGTCCTGGGATCGAGCCCCGCGTCAGGTTCCCTGCTCAGCGGGGAGCCTGCTTCTCCCTCTGCCGCTCCCCCTGCTTGTGCTCGCTCGCTCACGCGCGCTCTCTCTCTCTCTCTCTCTCTCTCTCTCTGTCAAATAAATAAATAAAATCTTTTAGGCAACACAGATAGGTATTAAAAGTGAGTGTGCTACTAGAAGCATAAATAAGGGCAAATTATGGCAGAATCTCATTGAGCACCTGCTGTATACTGCTCTAAGTGCTACAGCAGCATGTTAGTTACGTCACTTTTAAAAATACTAAATCTAGTTTTACAGCATAGACCAGGGAACTGGCTTCTGTTGGTGATGTTCCATTTATCCAAGGTGTTGGCCACCCCTATCTCGACGAGAAATTGATCTCAATAGATACGAGGATCACAGAGTAACACGAGTTTTCCCTTTGTGTATAAGGTGTGTTTAAGAATTAGGACAGAGACCTTTAGGGATTCATATGAAGCATAGGAATTTATCTGCTGTTTCTTTCTCTAAAAAAAACAATCTGTTAGGGCACCTGGGTGGCTCAGTCAGTTAAGCATCTGACTCTGGATCTCAGCTCATGTCATGATCTCAGGGTTGTGGGATCAACTCCGTGCTCAGCGGGGAGTCTGCTTGAGAGTCTTTCTCCCTCTGCCCTGCCTCTGCCCCTCCCCTCCACTCACGCTCTGTTAAAAAAAAAGAAAAAAAATCAGGTAAGATTGAGAAGAGAGAAGAGTTGGTTTGTAGGTAACACTTTTGAGAAGTTCACATCTTTCCAGTTACTTTCTCCCAGATTCTGCACTAGCGCCTCATTTGGCACGGTCCAAGCCCGTGAAGACTTCTGCCTGCTTGTTAGCGCTCCCCCGCCCCCAGTCTCTCTCCCAAGCTCCGTTCAGCCCTGCTTCTGGTGGGCTTCCCCTCTTGATTATGCTCCCCCGTCTTTCTAAACATAATATGGACCCTAGAAGTGCTTCAGAATACCTGTGACTACCATTATCCCTAGTGATGTCAGTCCTTTTATTTTAAAGCCTGAACTAACTTTGAACTAATGATTAATCATTATTAATTAATCAAACCACACTATATTCTGTTTGGGCTAAAAATGAAACGTGAAGTGAAGAGATGAGCATTCTCACGACTCAGGTGGTTTAGAATGGTTCTGAAAAATGTTTTCAACACCAAGTGGACATAGTGAATGCATTATGTCCCATGATGATCACATTAATCCATTTGTCATTTATTTGCAAGGATTCTAAGAACCTTCCAAATCTCAAATACATGACTGGCAATATAAAATAGAGCAATTAGGAAACGTTTTCAAAAACGTTACATCATTACTCAAGCTTTTTCACTGTGCGGGCAGTGTGTAGAAAACCCTGCTTTCTTTTTTACCGCCGCACAAGCCGTGGGGTCCGTGGACCGCGGCAGCCAGCAGAGCTCAGTCAGCAAGCCTGTCGCTGTGACCCTGACCCCTGCGAGTCCGAGGGCCTGCTGCCTCTCCGGCGGACACTGTCCTTGGGTGTGTGCTCACAAAGCATCTCCCCCCGGCGGCGGGCAGGTGTCCGGTGCATTCATACTTTTCACTGTGATTTTCTTTGTGAACTTAGTTCAAGGGGACGCGTAGCTAATCTGCTGTTTTGTCTTTCTCTGCTTTTCTCTTTTTTTGCTTATTTCATTTTACGCAAGGAAAAAATGACTGAACGACATACACCTTCTAGGAAAGTATAATTCAGTTCTTCAGTGAGTGTGTCAGCTTTTGCTTCCCGTATGCACACACAACGCTCGGAGGGAGTCCCAGCCGTTCATGTTCACGTTAGACGCTTTGAAAGCAGGACGTGTTTTTTTACCACAAATGAGCTGCTTCTCAGCACGCTGAGGTTTGCTCGGTGGGAAGCTCGTCCCCCGGGAGCTCCCCCACTGGCCGCTAGTTGGAGGCTCGCCTTCAGGTGGAACGCTTCTGTCACTCACGCAGGGTGTGCCTTCTGTTTGAGAAGTGTCACCTGGACGTAGGTCCCTCTTTACAGTAACGCGCACTGTATACTCTCTGCCAGGCCCTTTCCCAAACTCTTGCATACGCAAACTGATTTTACCCTCACGCCATGTCGTGTGCAGATGAAGGACCACCCAGAGTGGGTGATGTGTCCACAGGTACCGGGTGGCCGGTGGTGGAGGGCGGGTGTGAGGCGGGTCGTCCGAGCGCCTCAGGCCGCCTCCCCGGGAAGGGCAGAAGCGCAGCACCCACCTTGTGGCGGCGGTGGTGAGAATGATAAATCAGTCACTGAAGTGTCTAGCGCCTGGGACGCAGTGAACCCTCCGCAGAGGTTGAGCAGTTGTCTGCGTGATAGCTGCTGTTGGATTTGGACGCATCGCGGTTCCATCACCCCCCATTTCCAGAGCGTTTGTCGTCTCTGTCCTACGTTTGTTTACCTTGAGAGATCTTGGCTGTGATCCATTTCTGGGGTATTAGAGAATATTGCAGACTTCGTGATGACTTGAGAGCTAATCGGTCACCTTTAACAGGGGAACCGTATGTTTTGTTAAAATGGCTTTTCTCATAAGGGAATTTATTAAACTACACACGTCGTATTAAGTTCTAAAAATCGAGTCCTATGTTCTGTGTGTGATGATGAGCAATTTCAGATCGGTTGGCTTTGTTGAAGTACAACAGCGCCCTGACCTCTCTCTGAATTCCTATTTATCCAGATCACAAGGTTTACATCTGGCACAAGCGTAGCGAGCTGCCAATTGCGGAGCTGACAGGGCACACGCGCACAGTGAACTGTGTGAGCTGGAACCCACAGATCCCATCCATGATGGCCAGCGCCTCAGACGATGGCACTGTTAGAATATGGGGACCAGCACCTTTTATAGACCACCAGAATATTGAAGGTAACAGCACCGCACGCCGTCCCTGCGCTTCCGCTGGGTGACACGTGGCCCGGCCTGTTGGGAACTTTTCAGTGTGGGCTAGAATTTACTTCCTCCCCCATTCAGAGATTGTACTCTCTCCACAGGAGTTTCCGTAACCTGACATACAGGGGTGGGTGGGTGTGTGTCGGGTGCATGTGTGGTGTGGGTGCGTGGGGGGGGGTGTGGTACACGTGTGTGCACGTGTGTGGAGGTAACATTGGGGAAGATGAATGGGAACGCACCACCTCATTTACAGCTGCGTAGCTGTGTAGTTTTTTCAGCTCAGCAAATCTTGAAAATCTCACTCCATGATGCAGGAAGCATTTTATACTTTCACGCCCGTGAGAACTAGCTAATATTACAAAATTTGGACAACTTCAGACCGATTTGCTCTTGAGCATACACGCCCGTAACACCGTGTGGCCCCTGGCCCCAGGGCACTGTGTGTGACCCGGAGAGAGGACACTCCGATCTGCCCTGCGCCTTGGGCACGCACCGGGCTGTCCTGCACAGTCCTGTGGCGGGGGGGAGTCCACCCGCATTTCTGTGGGGGGGACACGGAGTCGCCATCCCGAGTCTGCAGGGTTTTTCCATGAGGATCTGGCTCGGTTGAGCAAGACAACCTGTGCTGGAGGGAAGACACGGTGAGAAATTTTATGTAAAGGACGTACCGCTCTTCTTTCAAACAGAGCAAGTGAAATATTTGGTTTGCTTAGAAGGAAGCAAGTCCCCCAGAAAACAGATGACGAGATTTTTGTTCACCGCGGGTCCCACTTAGACGTTTTAGTGAGAAAGAGCAGCCGCGGTGAGGTGAGAGTCAGCGTGTGAAGAGGACACGGGTGAAGGATTTGAGACCCGCTGTGCAGTGGTTCAGAGCCTGAAGGGCCATTCTGTGTCTGCATCACTGCGGGACGGGCCAGCACGCCTCTGGGAAATCTGCCAGCACCGAGACCCTTTGCCTCCATGTGTTGTCCTGTTCAGGTTTCAGCACCCACTGTCGGGGACTGACGTGTTACAGATCCATAACTGTGATTACATGCGTTTCTCTCATTTTATCAGTCATTTGGAAGTTATTTCTTCAAGGAAGCATATTTGATTTGAAATATTAGGTAGATAGTAAGAGATTTACCTGGTAAGCGGATATACTTCAGACCCAGCTTTGAGCTTATGCCTCTACGGCCGTGAAGTCAAAGCTGCCGCTCTGTTGGTATTGGGTGGATCAAGTTGATGTGGACGCACGCCGCGTGGGTGAACCTCATCTGGCGCCCTTGGGAGATCTGGTCCAATGCAGCAGCTCTGCTTTGTGTTTTGGCAAGACGTTCATTTATACCTAAAACACGAGAAAAGTGTCTTCTGGGTTCTTTTCTCCCACTTGAATTTTTTTTTTTTTTTTTTACTAATGAAAGTAATGCCTGTTTGGAATAGACATTTTGAAAAATATAGATGAGGCTGAAGAAAATGACATTCAAAAATCATGACACTCTAAGATACTATAAGTCTTTTAAGCGAAAATATGTGATTCCCGTTTCAGAAACCCATCTGCTGACCTTTTCTTCTAACAGTAGAGTTCCATACTATATCGTTTTGAGGGATGCGTAAAGTAGAATAGAATCTAGCAGACACACGCTGCAACGCGGACGAATCTCCAAAACAATATGCCAAGTGCAAGACCCGGACACAGAAGACCACTTAGTGCGACCCCGTTATGTGAAATGAGTGGGCAAGTCCATGGAGACTGAAAGTAGACCAGTGGGGTGCTGAGGGCTGCATGCTGCCATTTGTGTATGACTGCTAGCGGGTGACGATACAGTTGTCCAGCCCTGTGAATGTGCCCATAATAGCCACTGAACTGCATCCACGAGGCTTATTGACCCGTTCCCGAAAACACAGTGGGAACGTGGCACAGAATTCCAGGCTGAGCAGACGAAGCACGTGGTCCCAGGCACCCTCCTACCTTGGACCGCCAGATCGTTCACTCCTCTTTCCTTTTGTCATCTAATCATAAAGATCTGTTCCACAGAACTACTTCAGGTTTCATTTTTGAAGTATGAGATTCTAATTTGATTATTCACTTGGGTTCTCCAATATTCAAAGTAATGAATTTAAACTATAATATGCAGGCTAAGTAAGACACAATATGGACACATTGTTCTAAAGGTTATGATGGAAAGACCAAGAACTTGCTGTGGTGTGATTGTTTTCAGAGGTAGAACAGTTTGTAATGTCATGATGCTGGTATTAAAACTTTCTAACTGGTGACTTTTTCTTCCCCCCTCCCCTTTTCTCCTCCCCCCCCCCCCCCCCCCGGTGCCCGAAACACATTTCATCCTGTCTTCATTCAGAGGAATGCAGTAGCATGGATAGTTGATGGCGAATGTGGAGCAGACGACTTCTGTTTAACTTAAAATTAGTCGTATTTTAATGGCTTGGGATTTGGTGCAAACAAACATGATTGATAGCTGGACAGACATGCTCGTCATGAAAAAAGAACCATTTCTGAAGCCCGATTGGGGCCAAACATTTACACCTTGCTTCATAGTAACCAGTTGAGATGAAGCACGTCGTTAGAACGTTGTTGGACACCATGTTGAATTATCCCCCCATCGGTTGTGAAGAACTGTGCTACATTCAGGCTTACCCATTGAACTCAGTATATATATTTTTTTCCCTCCTGCCTTTTGTCTGGTGGGATACCATTCTTGTTGCTCTTCTGTGTAATGAAGTTTAAATGCTTGTTTGGAAAACTTTATTTAACAGTTTAGAAGGCTTGATAGAAGGAGTGCATTAGTCTGAAGAGTATACATTGGATAGGAAAGAATTTCCTTCTTTTGTTTCTCCAAAATCTTTCCGCCTTATTTAGCTTGAGATCTTTGCAGCTTGGTTCATGGATTCTAGCCTTGCCCGTTGCGCAGTATATACTGATCCAGATGATAAACCAGTGAACTATGTCAAAAGCACTCTCAATATTACATTTGACAAAAAGTTTTGTACTTTTCACATAGCTTGTTGCCCCGTAAAAGGGTTAACAGCACAATTTTTTAAAAATAAATTAAGAAGTATTTATAGGATTAAAGTGACTTCATTTGTATACATTTGGAATCTAAACCAGCTTCAAAAAGTTTCCTCTCTGACGTAGATAACGCAGTATAACTGATGCTCTTCTACAATCCCACGTGAGACTTGCCCAGAAACAGTGCTTGGAAGGACATTGCACAGGGAATCCAGAGTCATACCGTGAAGGTTTCCCCCCTTTTGTTTTATTCCTGAAGGAACAGCAGTACCTGATGTTGAAGAAATTCAAGATTAAAAAGAGAATTTTAAATCTCTACCAACAGGAGAGATCAGTAGTCCCCTTAGGTTCGCACCAAAGCATGTTCCAAGTTGTTCTCGGCTTGGGAAGGTGTTCTGGTGCGATCCAGCGGGAGCGTGGCGATGAGGCGTAACCACTGGGGAAGTTCCTAGTCTACTTGAGCTTGTCCGAAGAATTCAGCAGGTTCGAGACAGACCGGAACTGGGTTTAAAACCTCACAGTCCTTGATCTTAATGGCCCTTGATATTCTGACCTGTAGAGATACATAAATTGACAGAATGCTCCTTCTCAGTTTTCCGGATATTGCCATACTGAACCTCATTCTATACTGGTGCTGTGGGTAGTCCTTGCCTCTCCTCCCCCTTTAGTTTAAGGAAAGGTCTCTTTTGTGGAAAAGCACTTTTAACCCTGAGAATTTCACATTTAGAATAAGCCAAAAGCCTGATGTTCACATTGTGCTTTTAAACCCCGTCACAGCTGAATGCAGCCGACTTCGTCTCCTTCGAGACTCCCTCCCTCCCCTTCTCAGTAGAGGCTCCGGGGGGACCGCAGCTGTTACGCTGGGAGGAGGAGTGGGAGTACCCCCGAGATAAGATTCTGGTGAAGAAAAGGGCTTGTACTAAGTCCCCTTTGGGGCCCAGCCAAGCCTGCCGTCTGTCACCAGCCTGAGTTGGCGCCCTCAGGACCCCGGGCGGGGAAAGGCTTGGGTGTCAGGAACTGTCCCGTGGGTGCGGGGCAGGGCGGCCGCCCGGAGAAGCGGGACAGTCGGGGAGGGGAGAAGAAAGACAAACACAATTGGCCTTAAACTAGCACGGGTTCTCCCAAAAGCTCATAGTACAAGAAAGTGACAGACCGTGGTCAGCAGATTATTTTATCAAATTGGTATGTAAAAGATTTCTTTAAGCTCCATTTTGCAGAGACCACCACCTAGAGAATCAAGAATTCCTGTTTTGATACTTCTGAGTTACAATAACTATATGTTACAGTTTATCTGGTACTTCCTTTTTCTTAAATTACTTTTTACTTTGAGCTTGAATAAAAGTCTTCATTGGTAACTGTATATAATTAAGTGGCAACTTCTCTTTACCTCAGTGCAGTTAAACCCATTCGTGTTTTCAGTGATTCGCTAAACCCCGAAGCCGTTAATGTGCCCCAGTCTCTACAGAAACGTCCGCATGATCAGTGGGCAGAGAGGGGCGGCGGCGGGACTGAGCTGATGCAGTGGCCCGGGGCCACCGCTGACGCCCCCTGGGAGCCCTGCCTGGCCCGCAGTCTGTCCCGGGCTTCACCCAGCCAGCCCCAGATGGGAGTTTTTCCGTGAAAAACACTGTTTAAAAAGGGGGGGGGGGCGCATAGAGATGAGGCGCATTTTACAAAGAGCATAACTCCACTAAGTTAGCAGAGTGACAAGGATGCCCGCAGAGCAGCTGGGGGAGTGCACTCTGGGCCCCCGGGCCACGCAGGGACTGTGCTAGGTGAGGTCACCGTGAAGACACCTAGGACGGGCTGACCCGTAGCTATAACCTGACAGCCTCCGATGGTGCCGCCGTCCGTAGGCTCAAGAGTGAGGACACGGGCAAGCCAGCACAGGATACTAACAAATGTGTAAACTGAAAAGTACCAATACTTTTTGCACATAGATCAAAATAGAGTAGAGAATTTGGGCTCCAAAAATCAGGTTAGTAGGCCCATTTCCATGTGCTTAAAATTGTTTTTGTTGTTCATTGATTAAGGGCCGGAGTGAGTATGAAATTAAATGTCTTTTTCCTCCAAACAATCGGTTCCGGCTAGTACAGCGTTGGACTTGAGGATCAGGACTGCGGGGCGGGGGG